GTTACCAACAGTTTTTTTGGTGACTATGGTCCCAGCTGCCTTGAGATCATTGACAAGTTCCTCCCGAGTAGTTCTGGGCTGATTCCTCACCGTTCTCATTATCATTGAAACTCCACAAGGTGAGATCTTGCATGGAGCTCCAGACTGAGGGAGATTGGCAGTTAATTTGTTTCTTCCATTTGCAAATAATCGGACCAACTGTTGTCACCTTCTCACCCAGCTGCTTGGCGATGGTCTTGTAGCCCATTCCAGCCTTGTGTAGGTCCACAATCTTGTCCCTGACATCCTTGGAAAGCTCTTTGGTCTTGGCCATGGTGAAGAGTTTGGAATCTGGATTGATTGATTGCTTCTGTGGACAGGTCTCTTTTATACAGGTAACGAGCTGAGAGGGCTCCCAATGTCAGCTCGTTACCTGTATAAAATACACCTGGGAGCCAGAGATCTTGCTGACTGATAGGGGATCAAATACTTATTTCATTCATGAAAATGCTAATTACTTTATAACTTTTTTTGTAATGCATTTTTCTGGATTTTTTGTTATTGTTGTGTCTTTCACTGTTCACATAAACCTACCATTGAAATTGTAGACTGATCATTTCTTTGTTAGTGGGCAAACTTACAAAGTCAGCTGGGGTTCAAATAATTTTTTCCCTGACTGTACATCTTAGCAAAGAAACCTTAAACAGAAATATGGATGGGTGTTCTGAGAAGTTTGTAGCTTAAACCAGTGGTAACTGATGTGGAGTTGTCAGGCTTTGAAAATGAACTCCTCATATGTGTTGAGCGAAGCCAGCAACACACATGAGCTAGTAAGCACTGTAGCTGCTGTTGACATGCTGACAATCTTAAGCTGGCATCAGTTCCCCTACATGTAGCTGTCTGCAAATGATGATGCATAACTTGGTGCTGCGTTAAAACTTTCTGGTCATGTTCACATTTCGTGGACACGTTAAAATGCTCTGACATTATGTGCATCTGCGTAACGCTGGCAACGTGACAATACATTATACAATATATTTGCAGTGTATTCGATTAGAGAATGTGTTCATGATAGATAAATCTGCACCAAAGCAAGACAGTTTTGAAAAGGAGATGAACATTTCAGTCCAACATAAATTTCAACACAACTAGAAACTAAAAAAGTGGAGAGTTTGTTCAGCTAACAAGGCGTAACATGAAATTCCTTGTTTCACATACAACTCACGGTTACCTTATAATGTTATAACACTGAACACGAGGTGATAATTGCTGGAACATCAACATCAATATTACTGGGGAAAAACATTCCTTTGTATAATTGGTTCTTCCCCATTAAGACATATAGCCTTAGGTAATGTTGTTGTTGTTGTTGTTGTTGCTAGAAGTTGCTACCTGCCTGCAGCGTGCACAGTATGAGACTGAGAAGAACACTGCATGGAACAGACTCCTTTTACATGCAGCCATGGGTGGGGAAAATACCAGCAGTAGTCAGCTCTAAGTGTGTAGATAGGATTGTAATGCAGTTAACTGGGCATCAGAGGCCACATGCAGTGTGTTTTGAACGGTGTTAGCTGCCCTCCCTCTTGACTTCTCCCCCACTGGAAAAGCCTGGACTTCAAAGGCCAGTTACCGGCTACGAGCCAGGGCCAAAGCAGTTTAGCCATAAACCAAAGGTCCCCCGCTATGGTTTGGAAGCACAGATCTGGGCAGGTAACACCATATTTGAGAAAGTTGCAACTAAAAAGAAGCTGGATGCTGCAAGAAGTAAAACCAGAATTAACGTTGGTGTGGCTTTTGAATGACGGTGACAACTGAGAGAACAAAAGGGCCTGAAAAGTGATGCCACAATGGCCATATGCTGGACAGGTAATTATCGGTTTGGTTTTGTTTGGGGGACATTTGTTATTTTCCTGAAATCAGTAGTAGTCAGCCAGTGCGTGTTGTGTTATAGAAGAGTGGTTTTGGAGACAAGTCAGAGCGAAAGGGTGGGATTTCTTCGGTTGTCTACTTAAAAAAATCGAGCTTCCTTTTGCCTGTTTTTCCAGGATTGCTAACCCTACCTTTTAAATGTGGAGCAGTTATAGATAATCATAGGATAATTATTGAGATCCCTACATGGAGATGATGCACAGCACTGGTGCTGAATATTAACTCTGTTCTTTGAAAAGAGTTGATATAACCCAGTACTTTGGTAATGTGGCTGCACGCTGTTGCCTTTTTGACAAAGTGTAGAGACAAGGACAAGGATAATCACAAGAGAAGTAGAATAAAGAAAGAATGTTGATGAAAATTAAGAGATACCAAAGAGAGGCAGATTAAAGGTGGGAGGTAGAAAATGGAAAAACGAGAGAAAACGATGTGGAAGGGAGAACAGGAGACGAGTGCGAGGCCAGACTCACCTCAGACACCCTCTGTCATTCAGGGGAAGTTACATGTGTGTTACCTCCATCATTGATAGTCTCCTCACATCATAGCACCATAACTTGTTCTCACCCTCTGTTTCATGTTGCCACGACAACGCACAGCCTTCCATTGCTCAGATACGCAGTGATGTATGGAACTCAGGGTGTGTATAAGCCAATCAGATCTCCAGCTGCTTTGTGTGCCAGGACATAGGCACAAGCACTTGTGGTTCTGTGTGTGTGTGACTTTCTGGCCCAGATTAGGAAGTGTGGAGCTTGGTGGTTATGGTAAAATGTGTATGTGGTCATATATAAGATAAGTGGCCAATGGGGCTGACAGCACCTCGATGAGCTCTTTTAATGTGTATGTGTCCAGGTACATGAAATTGGAGCATTGAGTGAGTCATCCCTTGGCTGTCTGAGATTATTGCTGCAATCATGCTGTGTATGTATGTGTGCGTGTGCGTGTGCGTGTGTGTGTGTGTGTGTGTGCGCCTTTGTATTACTTACATCATGAGGACCGAAACCTATTAACACACTCACACTGTGGGGACTCAGCCATCTTTGTGGGGACTAGCTTCTGGTCCCCACAAAGAAATGAATGAATTTTAGGGTGGCAACATGGTTTAGGGTTAGGATGAGGTTAGGGTCAGGGTTAGGTGGTAGGCAAGTAGTGGTTATGGTTAAGGTTAGGATAAGTCTACAGGAAATGAATGTAAGTCAGTGTAAAGTCCTCACAAGAAATGAAAACACAGTGTGTGTGTGTGTGTGTGTGTGTGTGTGTGTAGACATTTTCTCTTGATTTTTATTAGTTTTATTTAACAAAAAATAAAATCATTTATGGTCTAGTTACCAATTTTATTCTGTTTTTATTGTTTATATCTTTTAAGTATTATCAGGCTGCAGCTGTTGCCATCTTTGTGTATAGTTACCACGGTTACAGGTATTGTTCTTGTCGATCACAAGATTTGTGGACAAAGCTGGTAATTTGTCTACAGTGTCCCTCTGCTCTGCAGAACCACGGCTGATTTAGAAGCTGCATTCGCTCACATGGACTGAGATACGATTCACTGTGAGATTTCTGTATTAAACACCTACAGGAGGTTTTACAGTGCATGACTGACTCCTGGAATTTATTTATACCAGTAACTCTGAAAGTAACATTACCATTACTTCCACAGCACGGTAAAATAATATTTTTATTTCTCTTTTTCCACCATATTGTTTGATTCTCAGTTTATGATAGACCTGTTTCTTTGAAAAAGCGGTAAAATGAGATGAAAGAGACAGAATATTACTGAATGTTAGATGCTTCTTATCAACAGCAGTGCAGCAGGTCCAGCAGCTAAATCAACATCTCAACAAGAGTGATTTTGGTTTTTCTTCTCAGGAACTACAGTTTATGATTTCACAGATACTGCAGGTTGCTGAATACGACTTGGCATTAAGATGTGACATACTTGGTGTCCATTCATCAGTCTCTGCCATTATTGTTTATTTTTTATATGATTAAAACTGATAAAAAAAAATGTATAAGATTTCATCATAGTTCTTTTTATTAAATGTTACTTTTTAATCTTTTGGGGGGCTTCTTTGCATCATGAAAAAAGATGGTTAGTGAATA